GGATGGTTTTGGGGCGATTTTGGAGCCTCGCAGGCGGCTTCGGACGCCCAGAAGACCGCCGTCTTGGAGCGTCGGGAAGCCGAAAAGAGGAGAACCCCCAAATTCAACAAAAACTAACAGAAAATCAATGAGTTTTGCCTCTTGGGGCCTTCTTGGGAGTGCTCTTGGAGGCCTCTTTGGGACCGTCCTGGAGGCCTCTTGGGCCATCTGGAGGTCACGTCGGTCACTCTTGGAGCGCTCTTGTGCTGTCTTGGGGGTCTCTGGGACGTCTCCGATGACCCCCCTGATCGCTTTAGGTGTGCTGGGAAGGCTTGGCAAAACGCCCTGCGAGGCCCGGGGGGCCGCTTCGAGGCCCGTCCAGAGGGTCCCGGCACGCGAAGTGGGTTTCAGCCATGCATGTTTACGCAGCGCGAGCGTTCCAGCCGCGCGCGGGGCGCGTGTCGCAGCCATGCACTTTTACCGAGCGCGAGCGTTCCAGCCGCCCAGTGGCAAGTTAGACCAATGACTGTAGTAGCTGAAGGCTTGGGGTTGGCGGCCTTTAACGCGATGGCTATCGCGAAGCATGCTGTAGCCTGGCGTCGTTTTTTTCTCCCTTGCGGATAAGCAGGGTGCCCTCGCATTTTGGCCTTGAAGATGCGCTCCCTCAGGAGAGGGCGCCGCGCCATTGGACCCGGGGAGACGCCCAGGCAGGTGTTTGCTAATGCGGGTGCCAGGGGTATGGCAGAGCCTCAGGTCCTCGCCGAGGCAACAGTCTTTGCGCGGTACTTTGCCTGGGCAGCGGCCCATCGAGTCGAGCTGGCAGAGGTTCAGGGAGGTCAGCAGGCTCCCATGCCACCCTGGCCCACCACAGAGACTCGCACGGCCAGTGCCACTGGTCATGACCTTGTGTGGATCTTGTCGAGATGCGAGCGCAGGAAATGTAACGCGAGCGCGAGGACGGTGACGTCTTATGAAAACGCGTTTGCGATCCGGGCCAAGTATTGCAGCCCGTCGGATATCAAAAATATGCCAGCGAGCTGGAGTTTGCGAATATTTCGAGTGCTGACACTGCTCCGCACGATATGCCACATCTGTCCACTCTCAGCGCGTTTTGGCTCTCTGACGGGACAGAGGCGCCAGTGCCTTCGCCGACCACCCCCCCCGCCCGAGATTGCTCCGGTGTCGGGCCTCTTTGGGCGTCTCGGGAAAGATACTGCCTGTCGGGGGGAAGCCCGCTGCTGCAGTCTTTGTGGTGCATGCCAGATCGCGGGCGGCGATGCAAAGAACCTCGTCCCCAGTACTAGGGGATGCCCAAGTCGGCCAGTTCCCACGCGGGGGCCCGACATCGTGTGAAGTTGTGAGTTGCTGGCACGCATCGAGTCTCGGGGGTGCCCCTTTAAGAAGGCATGGCCTTCCTTTTCGCCTCGGTCGAAGGAGGGTGGCACTTTGACAAGGGTGGCACTTTGACAAGGCTGTTGCGACTGCTGCGTGGTTGATTCCGCCACGTTGCAATGGGGGCAAACAGCAGTGCGCAAATGCGTTTGAATGATTTCGACATGCGCGCGCACGAGGCCCGCTAGGTCGCATTCGCTGAGCATGTTGAAGCAAGCGTATGGATCCGCCGAGAGTTCACAGGAGCGCGCGCGCATTCTTTTGAACAGGTAGATGACAACATCATCTCTCATGCTTTCGCGGAACTCGATGTTGAAGTCCTTACGAAGCTTGCGGTGTTTGATGCATTTCGGCATCGCGCGCGACGACGCGCGCGTGCCGACTTCGCTCGTCTTTCCAAGGGCTCATTGAGCATGTGCAGTCTTTGGTGAATGACTGTGCGCGCCTATTCGACATGGATGATGGGGGGACAGCGGCACTCCTTGGGATGGTCAGAGTTCATACTTGAAATGTGCGATGGGGCAGCATCGTATATAAATTGTCGTATCCCAGGAGGGGCGATCATTCTGATGGGTGGTGGGTGGTCGATTTTATTTTTGCTGGAAAGGGAATATATGAGAGGCGGCGACGGGGTGTCGACGGCTACAACATGGCCGCCAGACCGACCCCCGTGCCGAGATGACAAGCGGAGATTGGGCGGCGACGGTGACAACATGGCCGCCAGACTGGACTCCAGGCCCAGACGACGGGCGGCTACGGGGCGGCGACGGGGTGGCGACGGCGACGACATAGCCGTCAGACCGACCCCCAGGCCCAAACGACGGGCGGCGAAGAGGCGGCGGCGGGGCGGCGACGGCGTTTACATAGCCGCCAGGCCGACCCCCCCTCCCAGTTGCCTTTTGCAGAAGTAGGAGCCCTCAAATGCAAAACCTTGTTTGGGACAACACCATGCATATCCTGGCGAAGGGGTGTTTCGAAATCGGCTGGGGGACCACCTGTGCCCCCCCCCGCCCCCTGGGGGCTTCGGCGGAGCTCCCCGTGGGGTCGCGAGTCGTGGAACTTCGGTGGAGGTCCCGATGAGGCCACGAAACGCGTGAGGGGTGTGTCAACAGGTGCACGCGGACGGCAGAGGCAGGGAGGGATGGGAAAAGGTGGCAGCGCGAGGGATGCGAGATGAGGTGACGCGGGGCGCTGCCTTTTCAAAGCGAGGGCCCAACACTTGATCGCGGGGAACACGTAAAGACAACACTAATATTCAGCAATTCTCTGTGCCATGTCACCCTTCCCAGTCCCTCATCCTTCCCTCCCGTCCCGCTTCCATTGCCGTTCCCCTTCCCCTTCCCGTTCACCTTCCCCCTCCCCGTCCCCTTCCACATTTTCATGAACTCGCGCAAGGGCAGAGGAAACCGTGCGCGGCTTTCCAGTGGACTGTTCCCCAGCCACCAAGGCGTACCGACGGCCGAAGGCCGTTCAAGAGGTCATGAAGATCCACACAGGTGGGAGGGTCCCTCGGGTTCGGCTGGTAGTCTTTGGTAGGTCGGTCTGCGAGACCTTGCGCACCACTGCTTCTCATCCTCATTACATGTATTTTTTCGGAACCAGTGCAAACAGGACACTCGACACCAGCTCGGCGGGTGAGCTGTTTAGGGTGCAGCAGCAACGCTAGGATGGCTCCCAGAACACCTGTTGGCCTGCGATGGTGTCCACATCTTCGGAGGCAGGCCACCGTCCTAGTCCTGGTCCCCTGTCCCTTCGAGCGCTTTGGAGCGGCTGTGATTGGATTTCCTTTCTCTTCTACGTCAAGCTCCTCCATCCAGCCCGTGCGTATTCCAACTTCTCGGATGTGTTTTACGGGTTTCGGCCGTCGCAGTTCTCTGTCACAGTTGTTTTGGGCCAGCGCGGTTCTGCTGATTTGTTTCAAAACGCTTCCTGCGCTGATTCAGGTTCGCCGCTTGAATAGTTTCTTTGGTTTGTTTTTTTACATCTGCGCAATAGCCGACCTCAGAGTTGGCCTCGCTCTGTTCTACTCGTTTTGCATGTCGGCCCCTGGCATTCTGTGCTGCGGCAGGCACTCGGGGCTCCCAGGGACAAGCCTGGAGGCACGTCGTGGCAGAGCCGCCAGAGCCGAAGTCTTGGGTGCGCAGCGATAGGAGCACGCGGTGTGGTCCTCTGCTTAGGACGCGAATGCCTCTCGGGCCAGCACGCGGGTCGTATATATATATATATATATGTATGCACATTTGCTGGTACGGGTGTAGGAATTTGTATATATATATATTTATATATAACTCGATAAATGTATAGGTATACAGTGATGTTTGGATCGAATGTTTTTTTTCGTGTGGACGGTAAACTGGGACGTCTATGTACACACGTATCTGTGACTACCGGTATACGCATGGACGTATGCACATACGTGTATGTCTGGATGGTATAACTGCGTATGTCTTTATGTGTGTATGCATGATATATGTATGTATCTATGAATATAATCAGGTATATATGCATGCATGCATGCATGTATGTATGTATGTGTTCACGAACGTATGTATGTATGTTTATAGGTCTATGTGTATGCATATATGTATGTATGTACGCATGCTTTATGCATACATGACTGCATGCATGTACGCATGCACGTATGCAACTGTGCATGCATGTATGTATGACTGTATGTGTGCATGTGCGCATGTATTTATTTATGCGTTTCGCATAGTTGTATGCATGCTGCATGCATCTCTATACGTATAACTTACAGGTGTGTGTCGATGCATGTTCGTATGTATGTATGTATGTATGTATATACATTAATATAGGTAGTGCATTCGCATTTCTATATATACATATGTACGTATACATGCATGTATGCATGTATGCATTTATGTATGTACTTATGCATTCACATATGCATGTATGCATGTGTATGTGTGTGTGTGTGTGTATGCGTGCATGCATGCATGCATGCATGCATGCAGTTGATGCATGTGTGTATGTATACGTGTATGCATGTATGTATGAATGTATAGTTGTATGTATGTATGTATGTATGCATGCATGCATGCATGTATGTATGTGTGTATGTACGTATGTACGTACGTACGTATGCATGTATGTATGTATGTATGTATGTATGTATGTGTATGAATATGCATATGTATATGTATATGTATGTATGCATGTATGAGTGTATGTATATATATATATACATATATATATATATATCAAAATATCGCGAACACGATCCGATGCCAACCAGAAGCCATGTTGTGCACTCATCTCCACCCAACCCTCTTCTCACCCGAAGGGTGGTCCTCGGTCTCCGCTGCGGTACAACCATGGGACATCCAGGGGACAACCTCGAGACAACCCCAGGACATTCACGGGCTGTGGGCTTGGTACAACCACGGGAGCCGTGGCACAACCGCGGGGCAGCCTTACTAAACCCGTGTGGGCCGCGCGCTTGGGACGGGGGCGACAATCTGACGTGGCACATGCATCTAGCTAAGTTTGATTCTTTTTCACCTTCTCGCAACTTCGCCTGTCCTCACGCACAGCACGAACCGATACCGAAATCGATGTCCCTCTCGGGTCACGTCGTTCTCTCTCCTCAACCTCCACTTGAGCCGCAGGTGATCACCCATCTGGTTGCCAAAGGCAGGGAGATCAAGAAGGAGCAGCTGTCAGAACTCGTTGAGCCCCCAGAGGGCACTGGCGAGAATGAGACGATGATTCCAGTCGACATGCTAGGCGAGCATTGGGCAATCAGAACCTGCGGATGTGCACTGGGGGAGGAAAGGGGGGGGGGACGGTGCCTGCTTTCTGAAGCGATACGGCGAGAAGGCAACACCACAGAAACACCACAGGTTTTTGAAAGAGTTTGGCCCCTTTGGGGGCTATCATAGGAGGCTCCGTGGCCACTTGGAGACGTCTTCGCGTGTCTCCTGACCTCTGGAAGGCATGCCGGAGGCCCTCTCGGACTACTCTGCGCTATCTTGGAGGGCATTTTGGGACCTCTGGGGCCGTCTTGGAGCCATCCAGGACCGTCTTGGACCCTCCAGCCCCTCGTGACCAGGAAGTCCGGACCCCTGGGGATGGGGTAGGGGGATCGGTCAGGTCCAGAGCAGGAGCGGCACACGCACTCTTGCTCACTCGCAGACGTCCTCCCACCACATGAACACCATCCAGGAGTCCCCCCCTGGCCTCTCCACCCCTATCCTCTCCAAGGCCGTCTGGCGGATGGCGAGGGGGGATGGAGGGAGGGCGGCCCCTCCCCGCGCCTCCCCAAAGGCTTCGGTGACCACCACTTCGAGGACGTCGACCATGCCGTGGACAGCCATAGACGGATACCGCGGATCGCATCGCACTCGGGCCAGCCTTCCCAGACCGCCGCCACCCCGAGCATGTCCTGACTGCCCAGGCCTCGCCCCTTTGCAGGAGGGCCTGCGCCACGTCGACCAGCGGAGGCCCTTCGGCAGAGCCCGAAACTCGAAGTACAACAGACGGCATGACCATGAATTTTCGGAGCTCCGCGTGCGTTCCTGATAGGGTGCTGAGCCCCCCGCTCCTGGCGCGCGAGGCACGCCAGGGATGGCGTTGGAGGCGCCGCCATTGGATGCAGCGCCGATCCAAGCGATCCGTGCGGACCTCGGAACGTTGGGGCTGATGTTGCCTGTTGCTCCTTCAGGAGCAGGCCTGGGCCCGAGCCTCGGATGCTCAGCGCCGCTGGGAGGTGTGCCCGCCCAGCAGCGGGAGCTTCGGCAGCGCGAAAGAGGGTTGCAGGAGAGCGCACGGCGCCACCCTCCGCGCGGGATGGCGCGGCAAAGCAGGAACGCGCCAACTGCGAGCATCGATCATACGGTCCCGCTTATGATTAAGAAACCTCCCCCCGAAAAGCTTGCCCAGCGTTTCTTAAGCAACTTGCGGGAAAGCTGGCTCAGTTTCCTAAGGGGATTGGTAGCCTTGGATCCTGGAAATGAATAGTGTGCGTTCCTGGCTCCAAGAGCTGGCCCAGCGTTTTCTTCAGTAACCTCTGAAAAGCTGACCCAGCTTTCTTAATTGATAATTTTCTTAATCATATTTTGGTCTGTAGTCCCCGTCTCCTGTCTGGGCCGCTCAGGTGGGGCCGGAGCAGACGGGGGGTCGGAGGATGCCGCCGCACCCCCGATAACATCGGCGATGCTGCGCGCGTTCCGAAGCCCGAGAGTTCCTCCATCCTGACGTTGCCGACGCACGGCCGAAGGCGTGTACACTTAAGTCGGGCCTGTCCCTCTACAGGGGGAATATTCAAAAATGGTAAAAACATAGTCTGGGAACAATTTTTTCAATATTTTTTGACAACTTGGGGTATTTTTTTGGTTATTGTTATTTTCCGTCGAAAATCCACCTGTACGGGGACAGGCCCGACCTAAGTGCACACCGACCTCGGCCAGGCCCGCCCGCGGCCCAGGATCGGCGTGGAGATGCCCCCGTGGCCACGCCAGGAGGAGGGCGTGCGCACCGAGCCTGGGCCCGGGAGGGGGCCTTGCCGGGGGAGGTGTGCATGTATGGTTGGGATTAGGTCGAAACATGAAAAATAGTAAAGCACTACCCCAAAATGGCCAACAAATATTTACATACTAGTCCCCAGACTATTTTTTCACCATTTTTGAATCTTCGCCCTGTACAGGGACAGGCCCGACTTCAGACTGGGAAAGGGCGGAGGGGCAGGGCGGTGAGGGGAGCGAGGGGGACACCGTCGATCGGGGTGCTGGCCGAGGTGGAGAAGCTCGGCGTCAAGGCCACGGCGGAGGCCTTCCTGAAGTCCCGCGAGTGCTTCGACAAGTTCAAAGCTGGGGTGCCGGAGGCGGACCCACAGGGCTGCGCCAATGGTTCCGCCCTGTCTTGGCCGGAGGGAAAAGATGGGCAACAACAAACATGGAATCCCTTACTTGTCTGTGCGCTCACCTCTCGCTGTGGTTTTGGTTCTCTCCTCCAGGCCCCCCCTTCTTTGCCATGGCAAGTCGTGGGCGGATCATTTCCCAGGACGGGGCACGAGAGGGGCATGGGATGGGACGAGGGTGCTTTCCAGCCATCCGGACTCTGGACCTCTGCGCGTGTCATCTCTCTTCCCTTCCCTTGTGACGCTAAAGCCCTTGCAAACCTCCGACGTCCTCTTCTAATTCGGTGGGCTCTCGGGCTTCCGATCCCCTCCGCGGGGATGAGATCTCGTTGACGATTTGATCTTCCGTTCTTTTGTCTCGACAGGGCCTCTGGGTACCGAGCTGGACGAAAAAGACGCCGGCACGACTTCACGGAAGCAAGGAGGACGTCGGAGGCCTCGGCCCCCCCACCGCGCGCAGCGCGTCATCCTCTGGTGCCCGCAGGCTCAGCGGTGCTTACAGGACCCGTGGTGCTGGCGTTAAGTCGGACCTGTCCCTCTATAGGAGGTATATTCAAAAATAGAAAAACATAGTCAAGGGACGATATTTTGAGCATTTGTTTGACCATTTTGGAGTATTTTGGGGGTACTTGTAATTTTTCGTCCAAAATCCATCTGTACGGGGACATGCCCACCTACTGCTGGCGGGCAGGGTGCTGCCTCGCCGGCAGCGTCGTGCTGCCCACTCCCCAGCGGCGCCCACCGGCACTACTCAGGGTGCTTAGGGAACTCTGGCCTGACCTGGGCACACGCGAACCCAGGGACGGGGAGCACCACCCAGGGAAGCAATGAGGGCGCCAGCCGTGGAAGCGAGGAGGGCTCGACCACGCGCGGGAGAAGCAGGGATCGTGGGCACATGGGGGAATCATAGGATTCCTAGGGTCCAGGACGGGATCGTCAGCATCATAGTGCTCCCAGGGCCCGTTAGGGATCGTAGGGCTCCTAATGCTCTCGAGGGCTCATGGGGCAGCCTCGAGGTGCTCAGGGGGAGGATCGAGGTTCGTCAGCGGCCAACAACACCTGCACACGTACGCGGTTAGCTTCCGCTGGAGTGCGTCTGAACGCGGACGTTCGTGCACGCACGTCCGCAGAGGGTGTACATGTACACATGTCATTGCTCGCTCAGTTCGAGGGGCTTTTCCCACTCGGCAGGCGAGGGTTGCTAGATTTCAAGAACAGGCTTCCTGACCCGCCCACCCGGCATACCGCGGCCGCCAGATCCCAAGAAGCACCGCTGGTCCCGCGGGGATCCTTTATGGGCCGCCACGCGCCGCGCCCGCTGGATCCTCAGGACCACCTGTGGTCCCGCGGGGATCACTCTCTGGGCCGCCACATACCGCGGCCGCCAGATCCCCAGGACCAGTGGGGATCCCGCGGAGATCCCTCTCTGGGCCGTGACAAAACCTAACGGAACATACCATACCATAACATCACAGAAGAGAACATACGTATAACACAACAGCAGTCGATGTGGTACAGCTTATGTAGCGCAACATGTGTGGTGTATGCGATGTGATGCTACCTAGGTTAAAGATAAGTGGTGGTGCATTCTATGCTTTTATGTTTTTTTTTTGTGATGTGGTGCAATCTATGTGGCACAAGCTATGTCGTGCAATCGACGTGGTGCCAGATGTGTGGCGTAAACCATGTGGTGCAATACATTCGGTGTGACCTGCGTGGTGCATTTTTGTGGTGACATCGGTGTTTCGCAAAACATGTGGTATAAACTATTTGGTGTGCAATCTGTTTGGTGTGAGCTGTGTGGTGCATCCTATTTGGTGCAAGATAGGTGGCGCAACTTGATATGTGGTGCAACATGTGTTGTACAATATATGTCATGTGAGCTTTGTAGTGCAATCCATGTTAAGCACTACAATCTATGTGGTGCAATTGATCTCTGTCCGGAGTAAGTTGTCAACTCCACTGCCCGCGCAAGCATTACACCCACCCGCCCGTAACTTGGTTTGCTAAAACCCATGCGGCGGCGATTGCGATGAGTGCTCAGTGTTTGCTGGTGCATCTCGGCGGCCGCGCTAGCCCGCGCATGCTCGCGCGCCAGCGGCCAGCTAGTTTGGCGCGACCGACGCGGCCGCGGTGGCGCTGACCGCTGGGCACTTCCCAGCGGGCACTTCGGTACGAATCGGCGACATGGGCGGGCGCGTTATTATGGCAACGTCGAAAACGGTAGACGCGAGGATGATAGTAGCGATGCTGGTGACGATGACGACATCGACGACGGTAAGGCCAGTGACGGCGCGGATGCTGATCAAGCCGGCGACGATGACGGCGTCCTCGCGTCGGTGATGGAGGTCTTGGAAGCAATTTGACATGCGCGCGCCGCCGACACGCGAGAGTGGCCCGCATGGTGGTATTCGACACGGATAGTGCCCCCCCAGCACGCGCGCAAGGGCGCTCGAGTGACTTCGACATTCGGCGCGAGAGGCCCGCTTGGCAGAGTTTAGCGATGATGTTGAACATCTTATGGCTTCCTTGAGATTTCACTCAAGCGCGAGCGCAGGTTTCCGGGACATTCGTTTTTGAAATCCCAACGGCGCTGCCCAGCGCCCCAGCCCCCGCAGAGATCCGCAGCAGCTGCTGAAAGCCGCGAGCGAGGGACCGCCGAGGGAGATTCCCGGGGCGCATATCCCTGTTATCGTCTTACCTCGTCTGCGCTCTTTCCTGACCCCTCTTGACCTCCTTTTTCACATCCGCTTCCATGATTGGTTTCTCAGTGCGTGGTTACTTCGTTCCCTACCAGGAGATGATTTGACACCTGATGGCTGGCACCATGCAGCGCCCTTGGCCATCCGTATTCCTTCGGTCGATGGAGTGAGATACCCATGGCTCGCTTTAACAAGAATTTGCAATCTGTCCGTTCCCATGCGCGTTTGGGCAAATCTCTAATCTTTTGCTGGTGGCTGGTCTACCAGCCATCGCATCCTTGTCCTTACCCCGCTCGCGTGCCGATTTGGATGTGAGAACTGTCCAGATGTCATCGCCCACTATATCGTGTGCCTTTGTTTTTTGCATCTCCTCGCCGTCCCTGGGGGCATCTACCCTCCCCGTGACCCCATCGTGCGCGCTGGCCTCGGGGCAGATGCTGATCATAATGAAGCGGAAATCGCCCGTGCACAGGCGCACGAATTGACAGCAATCATTTTCATCTTTTTCACAAGCTATGCGCTGAGTTTCAGATACAGCCCCACTTGTCCAATCGGTGTAGCATTACTGTCCAGGCCAGACGTTTTGCTCGATTAGCGTGCCAGGTCTTCCAGGAGAGAGTTGGTGTCGGCCCCTCCGCCCCCCCAGCTCTATCTGAGCGCCCGCACATCCAGTCCGAGACGCCCGGCCCCCTCCGGTCTTTCTTTAAGGAGGCAGGGCTCAGCGTCTCTACTCACCGAATTCTCCTAGAGTGGTGGCCTGACTCGTCGTCGTCGTCGTCCTCCTCCTCCTCCTCCTCCTCCTCCTCCTCCTCCTCCCAGTCCTGCCGCATTATCCGCCCCCTCCTGCTCTTGCTCCTGCTGCTGCTGCTGCTCCTCCTCCTCCTCCTCCTCGTCCTCCTGCTTCCCCGCCCGGCTGCCCGCTCTGCCCCCGTGGCCCCCGAAAAGAGCGGGGCCTCGTCGGGCTGGGACCACCTGCCCGGGCCGCTGACCGTCGCCGAGTGGAGGGCGGCGCAGGATCCGCCCGGGTGCGGGGGAGGAGGAGGAGGAGGAGGAGGAGGAGGAGGAGGAGGAGGAGGAGGAGGAGGAGGAGGAGGAGGAGGAGGAGGAGGCTGCACCTTTTCTCTGTATAGGCGGTAACTTGTTCTCATCGCAGAAGGTCGCAGAAGGAGGAGGAGGAGGAGAGGAGGAGAGGAGGAGGAGGAGGAGGAGGAGGAGGAGGAGGGAGAGGAGGAGGGAGAGGAGGAGAGAGGAGAGGAGGAGGAGAGGAGGAGGAGGAGCCGTTTTCTCTC